AACAGACAATAAGTGACAGCAAAAGAGTAGTTGATACGAGAATATTTGGAAGGATCCCAGACGTGCATAATGAGGCTGGATGATAGCGAGTTTCCGATTTGCTGAGAAAGGCCCCTGCGCTCCGGCCAGCGAAAGACAGGGCATGGGGTAATGGAGGGTCGGCTGGAGCAAAACAATAACAGCAGACACCTGAGGCGGCGGCAATGGATGAGTTCGCCCTATTGTGGCCGGTGAGCATGTACGCTCGAGATGATGGCGGGCTGAGAGCTGGATCTCGTGTAACCGGTCGAGTTGCGCAGGGTGCTGCTGATGCTGCTGATGCCGCGACAAACCGAGAGTACATGCGGCGCGGTGGTCTGTTGAGTGTATCCTGCTCCCAGGCCGCTGATTTCTGGCATCTCGATCGACGTGCATCGAGATGCTAGAGATGAGTTGCCTGTAGTATCTCATTCACTACATTGCCTGACTGTCAACAGACCATGGGCCAGTCGGAGCCCCTCCGGCCGGCGCGGAAGCACCGCTTTACAGAAACGGGAAAGCATGGACTGTGTGGTGAACTCATCAGATGCGACAGGGGCCTCAAATGCGAATCACAGCCTGCCACAATACCAAAGAACCAAAAAGGAAGCAGAAAAGGTTGGCCAGATTCTGCCAATGGAATGGATGCTGGGTCCTCGCTTACCCATGTGCGGCCGATGGCAGGGGCCGGTGCTAGTGCTTCTGCGGCTGTCTCCAATGGACGCGCAACTGCAGATCCAGCCAACCCCATGCAGAGTCGTGGCATCACTTCAACGTGAATGTGTCTGCGCCTGACAACTGAGACAGCCAAGCTGGACGAGATGCATGAAACTTGGCACAGCTGTGCCTATGCTTCCAGGTACGTGGCCAGTCTCGATCGGCCTATCCATGTCGCCGGGGTTCTCTCCTTTCCTGCGCTTTGGATTCCAAACCCTTGTGCTCTTCTGCCATGTGCTGCCATTGCCAGACTATACAAGATACCCAGATTGATGAACAACGCTTACAGAAGTATACAGAATATCTGGTCAGTCGATGCCTACCTTGGGTATTGAACCATCATTGCGCAAAAGGGGCCTGTTTCCCCCCACCACCCCCAAGACTGCGTAGCTAGATCGATGGCCGATTTGGTGGTGGTGTGTGCCGCGCCCCTCCCCTTTTTGCCGTTCAACACCCCTCTGATGAAGGCTCAATGCGAGCTGGACAAACGCAGAGCTGCAGCAGTAGGGCAAGCCACGATGTCTCGGTGTTGGCTGTTCCGTGCATCTCTCATTTGACACAACCGAGCTTTGGCTGCACATTCATATAGTGCGTCACCTACATCTTACCGGAATCCAGGAAAGACATCCGTTGGGTTGGATTTGCTGCGCGGGGGGCACAGACTGGTGTGAGCCATGCACAGCGTCTCCTGGCAACTTGAGACGGCATGGAGAACTCGTGTAACTCGTCGTCAGTTCTCCAGGGCAGATGAAGTCGAGAGGGCCCGAATCAAGATTTCCAGCACCCTGTACACACAGCTGATGTCAGTTCGCGTCTAGCTGTGGCCCCCTCGGTTTCTCCTTTTGGCCTCCCAGCTCATTGTTGCTATTATTATCTCTCTGTACTTGCACCAGGGCCACAGCTCTTTCTACAGTATGCACTCCGCCCTTTACGGATGTCAGTGCTTGAGTGACATCCACCAGCGCCTGGCCAAAGTGATAAAAGGCATAATAATATGACAGTGGCGACGATGCTTACGAATACCTAGGTACATACCAAGAGACAAGCCCGTACATGCATATACGGAGCACGTACATACATACATACCTATATACTGCAGTATGTTGCACGGAGTTACATTATACGTACAAAGCACGGCCTAGGCGATGCCGCTTTCACCCATGTCCCCTTGCCCGATCTGGCTGACATACAGGGACTCGTAGAGTCGTAGGTAGTATTACGGAGCGCGTTGTGTAGGATCAGATATCTACCACGGGCGAATGGATCCCAAGGCCGCAGAGCCGGCGAGTCGGGTCCGTTAAACGGTAACTACTAATTATTCCGGGCGATGCCATGTCTGATCCTCTCCCCTGGCGACCAGGTACGTGTTGCCCCCCTTCTCACGCCTCTCCCCGGCATATTCGACTAGGCCCTCGGAGTAATTGGTCGTCTCCCACGGTTAATCCCCGATTTGAACAACGCGGCGACGACATGTCTGGAGAGCTTCCAGGCGATGCAAGGACCGAACACGGGGTAAGCTCGATGCTCTTCCAGAGGGCGCCTTTTGCAGGGTCAGGGCCGGTTGCCATTGGCCACGCGACGGCTCGCACCCCCGTCCTCTTAACCAATTGCCAGCAGAGCAGCCCTGGGATTGAGCGCTACACAACGTGCGTGTTCACAGTCTAGCTCCCGCGCGGTTCTCCAGTCCTAGCTGACGCACCTAAAGCTAGATGCTGCAGCCTCTGCATCGACCTCATGTACAGGAAGCCGCGCCATGGTCAGATAGCCCGGTCGACGCGAGTCTCGGAGGAGGCTGGGCGTGTCTGTGACGCCGGACCGGGCTGGGCCAGTGAGGACGAGAGGCTGCCAAGGCGAGCTTGCATCGACCACGGGCACGTGTGATGCATACCTACAGACCTCGCTGCCCATCTGCCCCTCGGTATTGATGTCAGTAGCAAAGTAGCCTGCATGGGTTGACCTGTCGGTCTGTCGCGATGCCAGGTCGCGATTAAGGTTGGACCAGCATAGCGACTGATCAGCAGTATCCAGGCGCTATAGTGGCGGGCAGAGACGCGATATGGGGCCCGGCCCTGGCCTATGGACGCCGGGAGGAGCAGAAGCGTGGCTGTCCTGCAGGCGCTAATCTGCTAGCCATCTGAGCAGACCCAAGGTACGCGGTAGGTACAAGCGCTGCTCTGCTTAGCTGGCCTAGCCTTGACCAGGGGCCTGCGATCCATTCGATTATAGCGGGCTTGTACCGAATGAGAATAGCTGGCCGCAGCCGCCCGCACACGTCTGAGCTGTCACTATTCTTGCGTGTAGGCGCAGACCGAACACCGGCAGATATCAACATCTTGTTCGCAAGCACTAATAAGGGGAATCCAGCAATAGCTTCTGCTTGGATTTGGGCTTGGGGTGGTTGCCGTGCTCTTCGTGAGTCGAGTCTCGAGGCTCTGGAGGAGCAGGAGGCAAGGCTGATGATTAGTAGGAGGTACTGAGTACCTAGGTCGTAAGATACCACCCTCCAGGTTCTTAGCTGGGTAAGATGGAGCGGCATGTTGGAGATGCGTTCATCCCTATGATTATGAGGAGATTCTATACTAGGTAGGTGCTCGGATTAGTACACGTCGTACAGCTCTGAATGACTAGGATTTGATTTCATAATGACGACCAGTTCAACTCCTTGATCTGTGGCGTCCAAGGGACTTGCCGCTCCTGGCCGCAAGACAAGAACGCCGCAAGCTCTGAGTACAGCACAGCAGTGTTTTTACACACACGCCACTTTGCTGTCGCTGCATCATTCCATCTCCAAGTTGAGCAAAGAAGCCAGCTTGAGCCCTTGCAGCGCACGGGCATTGCCTCCTCGCAGCGGCAGCAGGCGGCCCAAGGGGCGTTTCTTTTTCTTTCTCGGGAGGGCAGCCAAGACCACCGGATATCATGTCATGTTTGGTTTTTCTGGCCCAGGGCCACGGAGAAGCGACTTGCTACCCACTTGGGTAGAATATTGGTCCATACCCCAGCATGGAAACGGGAGGAAATCCCAATTACCTGGTAGTAGTTATCATCATCACTGACACCTCTCAGAACCGCGCCTTGGGAGCACGACGGGTGGAGGCGGTAAGTTCAGCAAGGTATAGGGCTCAAAGCTTGTACTCGGAGGTACCGCGCCGTACCCAGCTTGCCCTGGCCCCTCGTCCATTGTTTGCGACAGGCGAGCTGCAGCAGCTGCCCACAGTGACTTGGTGCCGCGATGGGCTGGGCTGGAAGGGTGAAGAAGAGCCGCTTTCTGCACCACCGAGAAACCAGACTAGCACTGCTGCTGCTGACTCTTTGGTGCTAGCGAGGGCCTTGCCGTGCTTAGCTGCGCGGTTCTCCGTGCCTCTTTTGTGGACTGCCCGGATCCTGCTCCATACAGGACCCAGCGCAGTTCATACCGTCTGCGTCCATGCCACCAGACGACTATTGCTGCTGTGCCTTGGCTGCCTCGCCTCTACTGTGCGCCACGCCTACTGTGCCTCTGCTGCGTGCTGCTCGTCCAGCAAGACGCTCCAAACGAAGCATAACGCAGGATTACATACGCCCGTCCGCTGCCAGCCTGCCGCCTGACAGATCACCTCACACAGCGCTTGAGCGGGAGTTTTGCCATGTACTCGGATGTACATGCAGGCAGCTGCTGCCCCCACACCCCTCCTCTTTTTTCTTCTTCTTTCTTTTTTCCTCTGTTCCATTTTGGCTCCGTCGTCTCCTCACTCCGCTTTGGCTGAACTCACTCCGAGCATCCACGTCTTTGTTCTCGTCGCCTCGACACAAACCACCCCCCCAGCCACCCGTCTTTTTTTTTTTTCTCCTCTTCCCTGGGCTCCTCTTTCTGGCCTCTCGTTCGCCGTTTCTGTCTTTCCCCCGTTTGGCCCCGACCAACCTCGAGCAGCCTGCAACTCCAAAGCCCCACCACACCTCCATCAAACAAGGGCCCCAAAGAGCCTTTCCAGGGTTCTGTCGAAAGGGACTGGACGCTTGCGAGATCTCCTGCTGCTGCTACTGCTACTGCTCCTACTAGCACCACCAAGCAAGCAGCGGCAGCACTACCTCCGCGCCCAGGACACAGAGAAACACACACCGGCTGCACTGCTACTGCACGGCGTGCCTGTCTGTACGTGGACGGTCCATCGAGGCGCCTGCTCGTCTAGCCCAGCGATCCGGAATAGGAGCTAGGGTTTTCGAGCAAACCCTTGTCAGAATCATAAACACAATGTCAATAAAGTAAGCCTGCTTCGCGAGCCACCGTCGTCCCGTCTCTTTTCTCTCCTTCTTCCCAAGGCCCCCCCAATCCTGCTGCGTCTCTTGTTCATTGCCTGCCGGTTTCGTTTCTCGATTCTTTGTAGCTGGGCGCCGGGCTTCAACGTCACCTCTGGCAGGAAAAAAACTATTTAATTCCTCCTCGACTCTTCTTCTCTTCTCTCCTTCTTTCTTCCTCCTCCTCGAAACCTTTCTCTCTCCTCCTCTTCTGCTGCTGCTTCATCTTGCATCTTCATTTGTTTCATACAGAAGAGAGATCAAGGCCTTCTTTTTTTGGCCCTTTGTCTCTCGCTGTTTGCTGCTTCCCCCGCTCTTATCTGATTCTCTCTCTCTTTGTCTTGCCCATCTGCCTGTTTGCCAACAACGTCGTGTCTATCCTCGCTGTTTGCCCTGCCTGCCCTGCCAGAGAGTGCTTCTGGCCACGGCGTCTTGCCCCGCTATCGAACCCAGAGATTCATGGGAACCATGTGCCTGGGCCCCGCCCCACGATGAACAACCCTCATGACTATCTTATCTCGAGCGCTCCCTCGCGGCCGATAGATCCTGACAATGCCGATAGTTGGGTTATGCTCAACCAGGGCGGATTCGTGAAGCTGGGCAATGAACGAATCCTGTACAAGCTCGATTCACGCATATCATGCGAACTGTCCGTCCCTCCCGAGCTAAAAGATCGCTGCGTCCCGTTCCAGCGCAAGAGTGACAGGGGAGCTCTCTTCCTAACCAACAAGCGGGTTGGTTCAGCCTCTTTGAAACAGCCCCATATTGCTTGGCTCTACGTATGCTAACATGGACGCCAGGTCGTTTATATCCCCTCAAGGCCAACCCAAGAGCCCAAGTTCGAATCCTTCAGCGCCCCCATTCTAAAGTTTCAAGATTCAACCACCTCGTCGTCTATGTGGTGGGGATGGGTCTGGAAATCAGACTGCATCCCCGTGTCAGGAGGTGGCATTCCGCCTGAGATACCCCGAGTCGAAGTCAAGTTCACCTTCTCCGATGGCGGCATGATGGAATTCAACGAGGCTTACGTCGGCTTGCGCGAGCGTCTGTTCCAATATCAAGAAATGCGCCGCGAGTTAGACGCCAGCACTGAGGTTCCAGACGAACCTCTGCCTGCCTACTCGGCCGATGGCGATGGCCAGCAGCAGCAGCAGCAGCAGCAGCAGCAGCCGCCCTCATCGTCGGATCAGCTGACTGTCCCACGACCCAACCGCTCAGACAGCTCTTCCAGTCGCCGTGCCCCCAACGAGCCGCCGCCAAACTACGATGAGGCGCAAGCGCAGCAGATCAGCAACCGACTAGAAGACCACATCCGCAATGAGGTTGACCGAGGGGCTGAAGAAGAGTAGGCAGGATAATGAGTGCTCTGTAGCGAAAGCGTTTTGGGTGAAGCGAATAATGAGACTACGAACTATCTCTGTGTGATTTTGTGCTTGATTCTCTTTGTACCGGACAAGCTAGACAGTTGAGTTTAATTCGCCGTAATTTATTGCTATTGGGTGGAATTTGGATGGCGTCAGAACGATCAATTACAGTATAGGTATTACAGTTGGACAAGGGCGATATATTAGAGCCCTCCAGGCCCGTCTCTTTGGATGGCCCCGGTTTGATTAAATGCAAAGGATTTCTTCTCTCTTGATAATGACATTTACCTCAAAGCTACAGATTGTCCCACCTCTTGTGATTCCATCCATTGTTCCATGTCTCACCTCGCTCTGCTTTGGCTGTGGAGGTAGGGGGTGATACAGGCCATACAACCCCTCCCCATTCAATCGGAGATCTTGAACTCACCCCCCCAGTCTTGGAGTGAGCATCAGCCAAAAACGGCAACCCCAGCTCTGCCAATCGCACGCTGCAACGATAACCTGCCTGTGAAGGTACGTACCTACCTCTCTTGGATGGCTCTTGGATGGCTTGCTGACAAAGACGTCGGACTCGAAATAATGTGACAAATCCCGTGACCTTGATCGGCCGGGCTGGACCAATCAAAATGCCTCAATTCCGGGTCAGCTTTTCGCGAATTTGACCGACAGCTTCCGAACCGCCAATACGCCTCATCCAAAACGTACGATACCGCACACGGAAACCGATCACACGGCGATTAACCACAGTTTCGCCAAATCATCGCAATGGGTATCTGGGACGCTTTCTCCGAGATTGTCGAGGCGGTGACGCCATGGAGTGTTGTGGAGGCCGAAGCTCCGGCTGAGGACACCCAGGTAGGTGGGATGTCTTTTTTTTGGGGGGTGGGAAGAGCGAGAGAGAAAGAAAAGGAAATGATGCTCTTGGGCAGCTCTGCAGGCAGAAAGAGGCGGTGAAATCTGTCGAGCGGCATCGGAACTACAATCATATGGGGGAGAGGTTTCTTTTCTCTATGGGCCTGGAGCTAATTGATGTTTCTGATAGGAGGCTCCCGAGGCCCAGGTAGAGGACAAGAAGGAAGAGCCCGAAGAGGAACCCGCCGCCGAGGAGGACGAGGAGGAGGAAGAGGAGGAGGATGAGGAGGAGCCCAAGGACCCTAAGGAGGAGCTCGAAGAAGGTTCGTGATTCACTCGTCCTCTGTCATTTTTTTTGCGCATGATGTGCTGTCGTCGCTGCGGGTGCGGGGCGAGGCATTTCCGCAACTCATGCGCATCGAGGGCTGTTTTTGCGACAATTGGATTTCCCCCTCCCCCCTTTTTATCTTTTTACAGACGTTGTATGCTGACGAGGGCTTTTTTTTTTTTCTTGTTTATTCAGAGTGCAAGAACTCTCCCCAGTGCTCCCCCGCCAAGCACCACTTCGACGAGTGCGTTGAGCGAGTTCACCAGCAGGAGAGCGAAGGCGAGGCCAAGGAGGACTGCGTCGAGGAGTGTACGTTTCTCTTTTCCCCCTTTATCGATTGCAAAAAAGAAAAACAAGGACCAATTTGCCCTCCGGATCGAGCTTTTTACATGTCGGAATGATTTCGGTTTTGCTAACGAGATATAACCTTCTAGTCTTCCACCTTGCTCACTGCGCTTCCGCATGCGCCGCCCCCAAGCTGTGGTCTAAGCTGAAATAAACGCAATCCTTCTCAAGGGAAAAAGACAAGAAAAACAAAACGATAATGGAAATCATACGCCCCCCCGAACGAAAAAGCATGCTCGAATCTGGGAAAGGGGAAAAAGAAGAATAGAAGGGGGACAAAAAAGAGTTTCAATTCAACCTTTTTTTTGGTTTGGGGGGGATTATGTTTTCATTTAGATGACCGGCTTTCTCTGTTCCACGACGGTCAATGACAAAAGCAGCAGCCTCGTTGTTCTCGACGGAGCTGCCCTGTGTGTAATCTTACGCTCAGCGAGCAACTTGAAAAAAAAATAGATTTTTTTCTTCTTCACTTTCTAATTGTGACGATACCTCCCTCTAATGGGCGCCGTTTGATTTTTACCGTCTCCTTATGGGCTATCTCTATTTACTATTTGAATTTTTGCATTGTTCCTAGCTATGCTTGAACTTGCTGCTACTGTTCGTTTGGCGCCTATGCAAGTATGCGACCAAGGCAAGCCACGATGGATTATCCCTCAACTGCTACACATGCGAGCTTTGGTGGTGAAAAGATGCGACCAATTCATATAGTTGCCAACTTCGCTCGATCAGTGGCTTGGATATATCAAATCACTATCTGTATCGCGCAACCGTCGAATTTTCTCTATGACATCAACAAGCTCCCTATTTATTAGCTGCTCAGTATCGGGCGCATATCAAAGAGGAACACTCGAGTAATTCAATGTGTCCAATCCCCCAATTTATATTACACACCACCGGGCCCTTTATCTATCAGTCCCGTCATCTTATAAGGAATAATCGCCCTAGATCAGAAGCCAAACTTTGAATGGCCAAAAAAGAAAACAGCTTCCAAGAAAATTAACGCCTGTTTGCTAATCGCATCGTATAACTCGCTTTACAAAGAAATAGCACCCCTTCGGCTCTCTCGAACGTGCAACATTCCCTGCAGACCGCAAAATACGAAGAAACCCTACAGGCAAAAAAAAAGGCAATGTTAGAAGAAAGAATGTTATGGATTGCTGAGTCTCGGAAGGATTCGGATTGGATCGGAGGGAGCAAGACGTACGATGTAGACAAAGACGGCAGTAAAGACTGTGCCAGAGACGGCCTTTCCATCAGCGGGATCGTCGACACCTCCGACGAGCTCCTCGTGGCCGGAGCGATATAGAGCGGCGAGGACGGTCAGGATGATGATGGCGAAGAAGGAGATGACGGTGCTGTTTCGGAGTGCCCACCACGCGGATTGTTAGCCAACAGTAACCCTTTTCCACAGATTCGGTAGCTCTTCCTTGAACGCTGGCTTCGGAGATGGATTTCAGAACTTCCGATATGATGAGGACATACCAAGACCATGCTTGCATAGCACTGACGACGGGCTTCATGATGGGCGAAGGGGGAGTGGCGTGCGTGCAAGGCCTGACGCGCGGCTAGGAAAGACGAGGCAGTGTAGCGCTTTCGCTCAAAGGAAACGAGGCGACCAAAGAGATTATTTGAAAACAGGAATCACGATGAAACCTCGGTGTTTTTTTTGGTTGCAGCAAATGATGTTAGTGGTGTGGTATGCAGGTTGCGTAGCTGCCAGTCAAATCCAATAGCGCAACTAAAACGGAGCTCAGCACCAGCGCCGCGGCCGGGGGAGCGCAACAGCTGGATGCCTGGGATATCAGGCACTAACGGACTGCTATATTAGACTCCGGGACGGTGGGGCTTTAGGCGCGCGGAAGTGGCGGCCAATCCGAACTGAGACGGCGGGCGCTTATGTGTACTTTGGAACCTTGCCTTGTAAGGGCTTGTTTGGACGGGAGGGGATCGGATCTGAGCAGGGAACGTTTTTTGTTTCCTTGGATTAGCTATTTAGCGTCAGATTTGCGTGGGTCTGATGTTTTCATTGGCTGTGGTGCGAGGGACTGTACATGTACAAGATCGGTGTTGATGGATGAGAGAGCAAAGGCTAGCTGATGATGAATGGGGCTGAGGCTGGATGCGAATTTCGGGCTTTGGTTGTTACACGGGGAGTTGTGGCTTAGCAAATCTCGGTGACGAAGCAGCGTTTTCTTGTTCCACAATGCGAGAGAGCGTGGTGATGCTCGTATTCTAGCTCCATGCTGGGTGTATGAGGCAGTTGAGATCCCCATGTCGAGCATCAGCATATGTGTCGGCTTCCTCATCTGCTCACACATTCCCCTGTTTATCTACCCTTTTTAACGATAATACCCTTGAATTCTGCTGGATAAGCTGCAGCTTCCTCTATACGCACTCATGGCCCCCTTTCTCAAGGAAGCATTTTAGGCTCAGCTGGCCCACCCAATGTCGCACCGCGGCACGGCTGGCCACCTATCATCCAGCCAGGGGTGCTCCCTGTGCACATCTGGAGTCGCATCAGGCGGCCCTCGCCCATCCAACCAGCCTTTGTGGCCTGGTACAAAGTTTTGGGGGCAGGAAAAAGCATCTCAGTTCAATGGGTGCCGGGCAGTTCCAAAAATAAGGAGCCGGGCTGGGGGGTGTCTGGACAGCCTGGCGGCTCAGTCGGAAGCCGGCAGGCGGAAGATGTGTTTTATTAGATGTGAAACGGAGCAGACAGGTTGAGATTTCTTTTGAGATTTGGGAATATATATGTGGATGAACTTGAGTCGAGCTGTGCTGTGTTCGTTTCTGCCGTTCATTTCCGCTACTGCAAGGTCCCTCTTCTTCTTGTACACACGGGTTTTGTACGTCTGTGGAGCCGGTTATCGACAGATTCAACAAACACTCGCCTTTTTTTTTTTTTTGACGAGAGTACCGCAGGTCGAGTCATAAGTCGTACCACCTAGGAGTTTAGGAGCAAACAAACAGCCCTACTGATCGACCAGCAAGCGAAAAAAAAAAACGAGACCAACTATTTCTGTCTCACTTCGCTACAATCCCGCCCCAAGTAACATTGCTGTCTGTTACTCGAGAGCTAGAGAGAGAAGAGGCTTGGCTACCGTTGTCGCTGCAAGCAGTGTCATTAGTTTCGAGAATTTTTTTTCAACAGAAGAGGCTTCGTATAGATCTAGGTATGTGCATACACTTCGTAACCACCCTTGGGATGGAAGCCCTGGTTGTCTCGAGTTTCCGGTGTCTTTCTTTGTTTCCCCTTTGGTTTCGCTCGGCTGCAGCTTCCCGTCGCCCTCGTGTTGCCGTTCGGACCTATAACTCCTTTGTTTTCCTCGTCCTCGTCCTATCGAGCCCTTTCAGCTTCCCACTTCTTATTCACACTCTCACTTGTATTGCGCTTACACGACTTTGCAGTATAGATTTACTCTCAAAATATTTCGGTACATCTTAATTTCGCCACGAAAAAAGGACCAATTTTCTCTCCGTCGTTACCATGCGGGCTTGCAATGTTCTAGCGATTTTCTCAACCGTCAGCTGTGCCGCAGCCAAAGATGCGCCTGTCGTTTCTGGGAATCCTCAAGGCGTCGAATACACGGCCACTCTGCCCAAAGAACCCTTCTTCCCCAAAGCGGAGCTGGTGGGCAACGTCAAGGGCAACGTTTCGGCAGTGGCAGGTCCTGGTGGCAAGGGCGTCAGATTCACCGTCCAATTCGAAAACTTTCCCAAGTCGGGTGGCCCTTTCAGTGAGCAATGTCCATCTGGAGATTGATTTGACAGCATCACAGTGGCTAATCAACTAATTCATGCAGTATATCACATCCATGAGAAGCCAGCCATCGCCGGCAACTGCACATCAACTTTGGCGCATCTAGACCCGTTCGGCCGTGGCGAGACGCCTGCTTGCGATGACTCCAAGCCCGAGACTTGCCAGGTCGGCGACTTGAGTGGGAAATACGGCAAAATCACCTCCGATCCTTTCTTGGCGGAATACTTTGACCTCTACACCTCTATGAAGCCGGACAATCCGGCCTTCTTTGGCAATCTGTCGATCGTGGTCCATTACGCAAACAAGACGCGTCTGACCTGCGCCAACTTTGCCAAGCTGCAGGTCTCAAGCAGTATTACAAAAGCAGCCCACACGACCACCAGCTCTCGCACTGCTACCAAGGCCCCAAGTGCTACTGGTGCTCATAAGATTGTTGGACCGCATAATTCAACAATCTCTCGTAATGTCACAGGCCCCCATCATACTACAGGTTCTCGCCCTACGAAGAATCCTCACAACATTACAAATGTCCTCTCTGCTACTGGCGTTCTTACTCGCACTGGCGTCGTAACTGCTACTGGCGGCCTCACCATTCCGGCGAGCTTCACTACTGCCTCTACCAGTGATGCTGTAGGTGCAAGTGCCACATCATCTACTGTACCCTTTCTGGGGGCTGCTGCTGGGAACAAAATCTCAATCTCTCTGCTGGGTGGCGTTGTTGTCATAATGTTACTCTCCCTGTGAGACATGAAAATGGGATCGCCTTGCATGTACATGTAGGTAGAGCCTTTGTGCGATACCCCTATTCAGGATGGGAAAGGGACTGGGTTTCTTTATTTGCTTGTTTTTTCTTCTCATACACATTTAATGATAGAACAATGTTTGCTTTAAGCCGGCCCTTATAGCTAGACAATACAAATTTACACACCTCCTTTATCAGGCTCTGCCGTGTGAAGCGCACAAACTGCGACTAGTGGGATGCGGCTGAGCTGTACAATCAAACGGCTCGACTCACTGCATGGTTGCATTTAATTTCCTTCTGTCCAACGTGATTGGCCCCCAAAGGCAGGGCAAAACGCAGAGGCAGAATAGAACGAGGCTGGCTGGCCTCTGAAGCGCCACCATGCAAGCAAACAGTACCTGGCTGCCAATAGTTTCCTTTCAGGCTGTCTCCCTGCTTACAGCATGGCATGCAGTGACAGCTCATTAAACAGAAGCGAGTCCCCCCGTAGTGGACTTTGCTGCGCAACTGCTGATCGTCATGAATCGTAAATAATAGTGATTCAGGCAGCTGCATATATACCTCAGGGTACCTAGAAAGAAAAAAAAGAAAAAAAATCCGAGGGGACGAAAGCAAAAGTATAAAAAGAGTCTCAGGTCTCACCTTTAATTTGCCTTTGCCTGGCGTCACTGCAGGCGCTGCACGTGATTGGCATTTCCACCACTGGCTGAAAAAGAAGCTGCTACCAGACTTCGGCGCATGCATTTGCCTTCCATCATAAACTACGTTTCTTTCATCCCCTTTTATTTGATCAGATGCTCTAGGCCTTGAAGCCTCTTACTGCAGCACCGATTCTTTTCATTCATACCCTTTACTTTTTCTTTACCCGCAAATAGCCTTTTCAGGGCGGCCCCAGCATTCTTTTTCCTAGCATCACTAAACTGGAGCTCCAGTCTCTTTTCAGCTGCTCCACCACCCCACGTTCTTTAATGGGAAGCTTTTAGCAGCCTTCGACGTCAATCGCATCAATCGCTCTCGAGCATGATAAGATTGTAGAGATTTCACGGAAAACCAAAAAGCACAATGGCCAAGAAGAAGGTGAAGCAGGCGGTCGGTGAAGACGAGGCTGGGATTGGAAGCCGGCCATCAGTGCCTGGTCCTGCAGCGCACCAGGCCCAGTCGTCGCCAAGTCCAAATTCAAGGCACAAATCTACAACTCCCGACGCGGCTCATTCGACAGCAGCTCCAACGGGGCTTGCGATATGTCGCAATAAGTATGTGTATGGCACTCGTTTTTTTTATTTCCCCTTTGCTTTACCTTTGTTCGAGCGTCATTGACACTATTATGAAATCAGACATTGGCGCCATATTTCTTCCTATCACGGGCCATGGCTGCAAATGCCGTACGAGATACTGGAGACTATTGCCAATATCAACTACAATACGCCATTGCCGCGGCCCCTCGATGCTGCCTCATTCTTTGACCTTGTCAAGGCACGACGGTTGGTCGACGAAGCTACCAATCTTGCTGTGAGGGCTGCTAGTGACATCGCCTCGCCAACACTGACCAGCGTTAATGGTGGCTTTCCGGGTATATCTTCGATGATGTCTCACGGAACGGGCACTGCAGGCCATGGCGGGAAACTAAGCAGAGAGCGCAAATTCAAGATGAGAGAGCAGGCGAGCCAGAAGCTAGCGCGCGCATATCGCTTGGACGAAATCGTCTGCAGTGTTGCGACTATGCAAGGCGCGTCGCCGCTTGAAGATGTGGGCAATCTCGTTTTACAGCGTAATCCCAGGGATCCTGACGCCAAATATGTCCACTTTTTCCATGAAAAGATTCCATCGAGGAAAATGGCTGAAAGCACGAGTTTGGAGCCTCTGACAGAGATTATCGGGGATCGTCCAGGAGAACCAGAGGTGCTGCGAACACGTGCGACGGTAAAGGTGTTCCAAAACGATTTAGAAGGCGCAGTCTTCGATCTCACCCATGCCTTGTCTATATCCCAGTTCATCCGCAAATCTCACCAACCCAAACAGGAGGATACGCAAATCGTAGACTCGCAACGCACCGCCGCTAGGAGACGGCCTCATGATGTCATTTTGCCGGAAAAAGACCAACCAAGCAGCCTTGAGGCTCAATTATACTTCCAACGGGCATCAGTATATCTGACACTCGCTTCTGATAATGCTGTGGACAGCATGCCACCACCACCATCGAACCAATCCAACGAAAATCCAGCGATTGCAAACGAGCGAGGTGGGGAGGCAAAGGCAGAGGCCAGCGACCCAGGCAAAGAGATATCCCGAAAGCAGGTTGAGTCACGGAAAATGGCCAAAACCTATGCCAAACGGGCCATCAAGGATTACTTGTCCTTCTTTTCGAACATACACTATTCGCCAAACCTCCCAGCCAAAATAGCCAAGGAGTTCAACGACCGCGTCAGCATGGTCATGCACGGCATCCGCAGTTCCAGAGCCCTTGATACAAGCAGTTGGACAACATCACACACGGTTTACTCCTTGCCTGATCTTTTTCGCTCTGTTCCCCCGACAGACCTTCCGCCGTATCCAGCTCAAGATCTAGTCAAGCAAGGTGTGCAACAGCCGCTAGACGAAACCGCATGTGAATGGGTGACGTATCATCCGCTGCTCAGCGACGCTTTGCACTCTCTTCTCTTGGCCCACTGTCTCGCCCAAACCTCCACCAAAGAAATTCAGCGACACGCTTACATGGTTGCTCGTCTTATCAGGCTATCCGACGGATATCCCTTGTTTCAAGCGAACAGGTCGTCTGCCCGAGCCGATTGGACCGAGCTGGTTCATTGTGCCGGCAATTGGTTACAACTCAGTTCTTCGTGGGACAACTTGTGCCAACCTGCGCCACTACCTGCCTACCTTGAAGACCCGTGTAAACACCATTGTGCCAAGCACGGCGGTAGCCACAAAAAGACTCATCCACATTCTGAGAGGTCCATAGCAGCCTCGGCTGCGGCAGCGCTCGTCGGTGGAGGCACTTTTGACGCTACCGCCGCCGCTGCTGAAGAAGAGCAGCGTCGAAAGGAGCTGATCCGCGAGCAGGCTATAGCAGATACTCTCGACGATGAGCGCGTTACTGACGAGACTTCATTCCGAGCAGCCGTTAGAGCTCGCGAGAAACGAGCTCAACAAAACGACGCTTTATTCTCTGCGAACATGCCCAACGGCACTTTCATTACCATTCACCCAGGTCCGGGTTTGAGCATGAATGTTTCAAATGAGACTAATGGGGCCAATGAGGCCAATAGTGCAAGCGATGTAAAGGAGACTGAGACTACAACTAGCACCAATAGCGCCCGTGGCACAAGCGGCTCAAATGGTACGAGGAACGGATACAGAGCTATAAAGGAGACTGATCTCGAACCCGTTCCATCGCAAAGCTGGTCTGCCGAAGATGGCAAAGAATACACCCTCACGACCGAACGAGCCAATGCAATTGCACGATGGGTCCAGGAGGCTCCTGTTGTTACCGGCATGACAAAGCGCAAGAAGCGGACCAAGAAGACGGACGGCAGTACCAGCGCAAAAGCTGATGAAGCTGAAAAGGGCATTCAGAAGCTGGAGATTTAAGGACGTATCAAAGGGATGGACGCTATATTATTATCATGCAGTAATAACAGAAATATGTGAAGATTTCAACAAGGGTATTCTACCAACTCTCAGATAGGCTAGGCATATCATTGCCATTATGGTAACACCTATTTCGCAAGCGTAGTGGCTTTATACATGCAGAGCAATGGACAATAAAGAAAACATTAATTTGTTTACGATTAGTTTGAATGTGTGCATGTACCAAATACAAGAGTGAAATCGAAATCAGTTCCCTTCAATACATCTCCATTACCACAGTTGCTCCTATAGAAACTACGCCGTTTCTTCTCAGTAATCCCAGAACATTTACCAAAAAAAAAAAAAAAAGGGGGGGGGGGGATGAATCTACTAAATCCACAATCATCGATTCCTCGCCTCGCCTCGGCTCACCAATTCTATTCCTCCATCATTTGCATCCAAAGCATCACCTCCCCTCCCCTCATCGCCAATAAGTTTATATCCCCTCGAGCGCTTCCTCCCATCAATCAACGTCTGCCACTTCCTCCTCAGCATCTTTGCCGTCTTGCTTTCGTCTCCCGGCCGCTCGGTTCTTTCGCTATCCCGAGACGAGAGGCTTGTTGACGTAGTGGAGAGCCTGAGGAGCGGCGAGAGCGGGAAGTGCGTTACAAAGTCGTTGTATTCGTCTGCGCTGGGGAAGGGCAGGACGAAGGAGTAGGACGGTGCGAGCATTGTGAGCGTTTTCTGTTTTTTGTGTACTGTTGTATTGGTGTTTCTCGTTTTCGAAGTGCTTGTGAGATGAGAGGTTTGTGGGATATTAGATGGCTTGTGGTGGTAGTATTTGGTTGGGATGTATAGACAGTGGTTGCTTTGTGCTTCCTCGATTATCGTGTAAGAGATCACAACGTAACAACCAAGGGTAGTATGGAGGCGTGTTGAAGTTTCTTCTAGGTGTTATAACGCGTATACCGCGATACCAGCCGTTTGTCATCAAAAAAGTGAGACCAAACTGATTGTTTGAATCAGGGATGCCGCGCCGGAGATTTCATTCCCCAAACCGCGCAACATTCCAGACAAACGTCTCCCTTGTAAGGGCACCGTTGCGGCTCTGACATCTGGCCAATTTAATATGCGCAAAGTTTTTGTTCAAATTCGAAATACTACTGGATATCTTCTATTCGTAGCATTGGATGCGAAGAAATTGCTTTGCGCGTCCGTTTTATACAGATGGCGCTCCTTCTTGAAAAGAAGGATGTATAATCGGTAGTGGAGCGGCATTAATATCCTGTCAGTCGAATGATTCAGAATTCAGAGACAGTCACGAAATAAAGCAGACTAAAGATATTCTGATGACTTTTACAAGGGCCTGTGCATTGGCAAACAACGCCCTTTCGTGAGAAAATGAGAGAAGATTTGCACCCTTGGGGGTGCTTAAAAATGCTGTGAAGTGTTCATATATACGCACAATCGCATAGTCTTCACATATGATAGGCTGAAGCTCTTGTGGGGTGTAAAACATGTAGGATCTTAGGATGATAGCCTTGGGGGAAGTTAAAATTGCTGTGAATCATGCAGCCCGGCCAGGGATGTCCCGAATAGTCTATATGCGTCTATTGCTGTATGTAGCTGCCAATCACCCCCCTGTGTTAAAAGTGACAGCCTTTTAGTGGATTCAAAATGCTGCGAAGTCGGGGGAGTTGTTTTGGAGGTTAAGAAATGCTGTGAAGTTTGGAAAACGTCTAGATGCACGCCCGCTTATGCTCTGCTTAGAATGTATAGTGTAGCCTTGAAAATGACAATGGACGAGCTGTGAAATCATTTTGGCTGCCTTTCATTCCCTCGATTCAAATCCGACAGCCCCCAGGGAAGTTAAAAATGCTGTGAATAGACGTCGCATGGAAGTTCGTGCACATGACAGGTCACATGGCCAAGATTCGGTCAGGTCGTCTCGATGTTACAATGCATAAACACGAGCCTGCTGTTTAGATGGATGAGTTATGCTACCCTTGTCTCATACGATTGATTCTGACAGCCTCCAGAGGTTGAAAGCACAATAGACTTGTCACTTCTGATAGTGAATGAATAGTGGAATTTGGATCTGAGGAACAACTACTTCGTACTTGCAATGGCAACCATAGACGCATGTCTCAAAGAAACCACCAGGCAAATAGATTGCGTGTATGCTTTATGCCACTCATCGCGAGGAAATGCAACGCCTCCTTACTCATGCCAAAAGAGACAACCCACTTGAACAATCTTCAACCATCATTCATGCATTTGCAGCGCCTTATTGCAGCTCTATATTGCAGCTACCTCTCTAACACTGATTCAAACTCCAAAAATTGCCCTTGTCCAAACGCCCAATTCTAGTCCCAAATGCAAATGCATGAAAAAAAGGAGGCCCCAAAACGCAATTGCCGTATCATCATGTGTTACCACCATGTATCCATCTGCCAAATCAAAGAAAAGAACAAAACTCCATCATTTTCTCTCATTGCTCAATGCACGCCGTCATATACAACGCATTATACGAAACTGATTCCTCTCATCTTTAGCCTTCAGCTTCAACAACCTCCAAGCCCTCCAAGACTTTGATAGCTCTGGTGCCCTCCATTTCAAATCGGTTGACCAAAGATTCGCATTCGTACTTGAGCTTCTTTTCCGCTTCCGACGCGTTAAAGTATATCCATTCCTCTACGCTCATTTGTCGCTCTGGGCTGGTCAACTCGTTGCCTCGCTTCAAAAATCTGTCCATGTCGTTTTCCTTTCCGGGAGTGCCATGTGATGAGCCAAAGATGGCTTCCAGGCTCGCGGAAGCCCATTGTGTCGTACTTCGAAGCCCGGTCATAACGTTGCGCTTCGAAGGCGATCCATGAACTGGAGTTGTTGCCACAGGGGCCAGTATAGTACGCTTTGCGGCGCCAGGAGCGGGGGCACGAGACAAAGGAGGCTGGTTCTCTGCATCTGATGATTGGGGAGATTGTGATGGGGACAGTACTGGTTGTCTAGCCGAAGGCACAGGAGACAGGAGCTTGGACGGAGTACCTAGCAATGGAGCCAGAGACAAAGCATCTTCCTTGGGCGAGAAAATAGCTCGCAAAGGTGATTGTTTAGGTGGCCGAGGGAACGCTTCTGATAGTTCAGGAGCTCCGATAAGCTCGTCGTCAGCCTCTGTCTCAGTCTGTTCGGCGGGCGTAATCTCGACCAGTTTCTTAGCCGGTCTTCCACGACCTCGTTTCGCGGGTGCATAGGCATCTTTGTTTCGTCCAACAGCTGTATAATCATGCAGATTCTGCGATGTAGAAGAAGCTTTAGATGGTCGTCCTCTGCGTTTTGGGGCCAGAGCAGAAGCAGCTTCGCTGTCTTCATCTGCCCCTGTCGAGTCCAGAGACGAACTTGCGGGTCTACCGAGGCCTCGTTTCACGGCAGGGTTAGCTGTATGGGTATCCCCTGATTCGGCTGACAATAGAGACGCCAATGATTCCCTCGACGGCCGACCTCGCCCACGCTTAATCGGCTGCTGTGCCGACTCGTCAGTCTCACCAATAGACTCATCTTGAGATGTCAGTGACATCCTCGGCCGCCCACGCCCACGTTTCCCAGCGGGAGGTGGCAAATTTGGTTTCTTCGCAGCACTCCTAGCGCTGCTTACACTGACATCAGCCGATACTACTCTTTCGTCTTCTTTCTGAGACTCCAAAAATTCAGATTCAGGCTCAAACTTTTTAGATTTGAGCTGCTTCATCGTCTTTTGTACGCCAGCTTTACGACCTCTCTTGGGCGCTGGCTCTTTGACCTCCATCTCCGCTTGTAGGGCTTGAAGCTCATCTTCAATCTCTGCCTCGCTGGGTTCAGGCACGGCTGTATCAAACATTGCATACTCAGCCGATCTTTTCTTTGAGACAGTTTCGACTTCCGAGTCAGTTGCTGTTCTGCTTGCTTTGGCCATGTTCCGCGTCGAGTCAGAATCATATGCAATCTCCTCCTCACTGGTAAAATGGTATTCTAGATCAGCCTCCAATCGGCGTTCAATCTCATCATCATTTAGCAAGCCACCGGGGGCTCGTAATGATGCCAGAGAAGCGTGTGAACTCAGCTTCGATGCGCGTTTGCGGCCGGGCTTTGATCTGGACGACGACGACGCTCCGCTTTTGTTGTAGGAAACGCTGGAGACATCAGTCATCTCGGAGTCGTCCTCATGGGCTGCAATGCTATCAATGGTGTCGTTGACGGAAAGCTGCGACCCTCTCTTCTTCAGCGTGGGCCCACCCATCAAACTCATTGTCGATTCCTCTACAGCCTCACTCGACCTTTTCTTGCCTCGCCTGAGTTTCGATGGTTGCGTGTCTTCTTCCATTGGGCTGCTTTCATCAAGCAACTCAGATGGCTCCTCTTTTTGAGTCTTCTTCCTACCAGCTTTCGCGCCCGGCCCCTTCTTTGCTCTAGGCTTCTTCGCCCCGGACTGTGTGGCCGAAGATGAAACTGTAGCAATGGTATCGTCGAATCCGACACTCATATCGAAAGGATTCGATATCTCGGCGGACGTTGACCCATGTGACTGGCCAGATATTGATGAGTTGCGCGATGACTTTCCACGGTTAGAAGCTTTCCCCAGAGCCTTATATTGGCTGACTAGTGAAAAAAAAGGGCAATCTGGAGATCGATTGTAGTGCTCATCTCTAGAACGGGGTTAGTTATCAAGCAATTCGAGTTGTAGATGCGCAAATCTTACAAAGGCTTGTCGCTCGGTTCCCATCCATCGAGTGCCAGTTGACAGTATGCACATGTAGCCATGTCATCCGACTCCCCAGTTGGCGTATACTTCCACCCGGCTTCTACTAGCTATTAAAGGTCAGCAAGACATGCCAATCAAAGCCCTCTGTCGCTCAAGTGGTAACACACCTGCTTAGTCTTGCATTTCCAGCCTTTCTTATTCTCATGGGGCCATCTGCCGGCAAAAGTCGCCTTGCGCGCTTCGACCATTTCGGGATCATTGGGATCTTCTCTTGCGTAATCCCCAATATCGGCCTCAATGGCAGCAACCAGTGCCCAGCCGCAATGGGGCGCATGTTTGACGTGCTCGTAGATTGGGTCGTCGCCAGCCTCCCATCCATCCAACCCTTTTTCGCACAAGAAGCATATCGTATTGTCGGGGCTGTCTGGGCTGGGGTTGAATACAAATCCGGCTCTGGCAAGCTATGCTTACTGTCAGTTTCCGATCCATCAAATTGTGTTGAGCGGGAGAAGTGGCGCATACACTTGTTGCCGAAATCTGCTTGTGAGGCCAGTTGAGTGCCTTTGCTGCTCCTCGTCCGCCGGTAGTCGATCCGCGCCTCTTGGTTGTCTTCTGAAAGGAGGCCAGACGGGCTTCGTAGGAAAAATATTGATCGAGATTGATGGTGGCCATCTTGAGGATCGCCTCAAGCGCAGGCAGTGAAAATCAGGGGGAGAGTCTGCTGTTGTTCGATTCCGAAATCTGAGAGAGAATCACCGCAGGTGCGAGAGGCGTAGAGCTCCTACTTGACCAAAGATCAGAGACACCGACGCAGCATCTCAGGAAGGCTCAAGCGCTTTTACTCAGCAACTGGAAAGTATCAAGATCCACTTGGTCGCAATCTGCGAGGGTCGTCGTTTATTGGGGATCGTTGCAAGGGGTCTGTGAGATTCGGTTCGAAGGCGGGAATTCGTTCTACGGGAGCGTGTTTCGAGCAACGAGTCGATCAGCGGCTGTGCGACGAGGCCAGGCGGCGGAAATGTTTGTTTGTTTTGTATTCTGGATGTGTCCAGCGATGGTATCGGTGGTGTCGTGACGTGGAGCGCGTTTGTTTACCCAAGCTGTTTCGCTGTGGGGCCAGCTCCAGCCACAGAAATCGCAAACTCAGCCCGCTAAATAAGCACTGCAGCGTAGACGCCACGGCTGGCCTAGGCGCTTACAGTCACTCAAAACCCCTAGATTCCAGTGAAAGAAACTCTACAAGTATACCGGCTTGTAAGCATCCATACAACCCTAATATTACACTTAAAGTATGGAGCAAGGAGTTGTTGGGTTCAAATGTAGATCTCTAGGTTTCTCGCGCTGCTTGTACTTCTTCTGCTTCTATTACTGAAGCTGCTGGCTAGACAGACATAGGGCGGCGCTTTTTCAAGCTTGTTACGTTCCAGACTTGATAAATTAGCCGCTGGAAGATGGAGCTTTTATGATTGACTTGTAAGATAGAGTCCTGACAAGTGAAAGTTTCGAGCAGCTTTGCCTTTACATCTTATCTACCTAAGAGCCGTAAAGGCATTTTATCACGCAACGTCATGCTTTCGGAGATATACCTATACGCACGTGTAATGTGCAATATGCATTTAGGATTACTTTAACTGATCAGCTAACACGCGCAAGTTTCGACGACGGACATGGGTTTGTAATATCGCGGTGCAAATCTCATGTTGCGCTCTTGACAGGAGGTGCTGGACAAAGTTACGTCAAAAGACGAGCACAAAGGGTTTGTGGAGGATCAAAGGATACTTTCTACAGCTGGATAGATATGGTGACAGTGACGAATCGTCAAAACAATCCAGACCACTGAAATAGCATTCAAGAAGCTCGAGTTAGCGGTCCGTCCAGCTTATCGGGGCAACAAGTATCTCCTCAGGTACAAATGCATGATGTACTCAATACTTGTATTTTGCAGCGGTAATCCCTTGTACGTATGCATATATTCATAATCTAGTCCTTGAACTGACATTGAGCAACCCTGCCTGCCCGCCCGCCAAAGTGACATTCATCATAGCCAATTACAACTTGCCAGCATCCTTCATGGCCTTCTCGCCGTCCACCAGAACGCACCAGCCCTCGGAGCCTCTGCCTCCCTCTCCATAGACAACAGCCTCAAAGGCCCCGTCTTCCAAGGCGAACTTTAGGACCTCGTCATCAAAAGTGCCAGGCTGTAGCCAGACAGCAGGAATTCCAACGCTCTTGGCCTCCTTCAGCACGTTGATGGTGATGCCCGGGTGGGTGATGATGGAGACGGATGTGTCCTTTGGCTGTGGCAGGGCCTTGACATCTGGTTTGGTGGGGTGCTGCTCGCCATTCACCTCGACGAACTGTGAGGCGGGGTTGATGGGAGTGACGGGCAGATCATGGTTCAGATACCAGGCATGGACTGTTATTTGCGTGGTCAGAGATGTATCCAAATAGATGCCCATTGGTAAGCCTATGAATCGAACCTTTGTGACCAAACTTGGCGGGGTTGGAACTAGCTCCCACCACTGCGAAGAGGGGAGAGGAGAAGAACCGCTTGGCGGTGGCTTCGGTGACAGCGGCCATGTCTTTTGAGTGGTTGTGAGGTTTTATGAAGAGTAGAGCTATTTCTGATCAATTAGTTTGGGTCTGAATGCTCTTTATGAGTAGATTTTTAATCGCCAGGTCCAGTGGATGCTAGCTGACGTGATTATTCGGAAGAAGTCCTCATCGGTTGATCATCGGAATACCTCCTCCAGAGAGATCGAGAAGCAACATTTAATTAGAATATGAAGTAAATCGTAGCATATAATTGAAGGATCGTGCTAATACAGCGGTTAGATAGGGACTTGTTGAAATGATTTGGAATTAAAGCGTTGCAGCGGCTGGAGATGATGTTACATTGCAGGGTAGCGTGCATATACAAGTACTCTGCCGCGGGACTCTTTGATCACTTTATCACTAAATTACCAAATAGGGAGCACTATTTCAAATTTCTTGCATATATTGGGATCAGCTATCTTTAAAAAGAGAGTTGCCGACACTTACTTATGAAGACATTATCCCTCTCAAAATAGAGACCAAGGATGACGCACTTGCATCCGACTGTCGAAAGGCACCTGGAAGCATATAGAAAATGTCACACATAATGATGGGTGTTTAAATTTCACCATCGACACTTACCAATAACAACTCATATTTCTACTCTTTGACATTTCCACTTTTTGCATACCAAATAATAGCTCTTATTATCCACTTCAGCAGATGTTGGGCCCTGCGAGAAGCTCGCGTGAAAGGACATCTGCAATCACATTATGCACCGGCGTTCTTGGATGCAATGAGTTGAGCCAGAAGTATTGATTTACGGGAACGCCGCATGATGGGTCAAAATAATCGTCGGTTGGCGTCCCGCTGTGTAAAAAAAAGGTTATTAGATGATTGTGATACACTAGAATATGTAGCATCAACTTACTTGGCATACGCTTCACAGAAATTCGTAGTATTAGTGATTCCAGCAGTCTGCGGAAAAGACTTGACATTATTCAAGATGTCGGTAAAGAGCGCATTGGCGTCATAAATCCAAATATTGCTGTCCGTACGCAGAGCTTTCTCACTCTTGGCCATATTGACGAGCAGCTGGTTCCACTGCACGACGTCCATCTTTTCCTGCCCGGCAACAGTTGTTCCAGCGGCAATCGTTCCGGGCGATCGGTCGATGGTCGGGACAGTTACAAAGACAAAGTTGCGCGCACCGGCTGCATAGAGCTGTTCCACGAGCGACGTATATTCTGAGATTAGCTGCTGATTAATGGCTGCTGTAGAGGCAGAGCCCTTGCCAAAAGTGGCTCCAATGTCGTTGATGCCAACCCATACTGTAAAGAGCGTGTTGCTACCGGTCCACTTGGGGGGCTTCGGCACAGTGATGGGCGATACATATCCAGGAATGAACTGGTTGGCAATCTGTTGTTTGACAGAGGTGATGGATGTCGACGATGCTGCTACAATGTCGTTGTCCAGTGTTGCTCCGCTAACAGCTAGGTCATACGAAAAGAATACAGACGCATTGTAGGTTACTGTGAGGAAATCGACCCAGTTCTCGCCGTGTGCGGAAGTTGCTCCGGGCCAAAGACCCAGGGGAGCGGAGACAGAAGGCTGTGCTCCGCCGGTATAGTTGAAGCCTGTGTTTGGTAAGTTGTGTTATAGGAAATCGTTTGGGAGAAGGAAACCAACTGGTTGTTGTATAACTGTCGCCACTGTACATATGAAAGAGACTCATCAGCACTTGTTGCGATTATTACATTTTCGGCTTAAAGCATCATAGAGCTTGAATAAAAACCCCTTTCGCTCACAAATAAAAGGCATATTTAATTCCTTTCCATCCTGGCCAGTTGGACGTCGGTGCACATGCCCGGCTAGCCAAGGGAGAAGCACCAATACCGTCTGTCAAGACAGCCAGTGACACCAGCAGCAATTTTCTTGTTCTGGACCACATGTTGGTGAAAGTGAATGTCATTGAAGCTCTTTCGAGATACTTTAGAGTAATGAATGAGTCTGCCATTTGCATCGAATTGGAGTCAACTTGTATATATAGCTATATCTGTATTATTGAAGTCCATACATCACATACATCACATCACTCATTGTCTCGAAACTTGATAATTGCTTACCCCGACATCATCTGATAGCAGGCCATAACCACAAACTGCTTAAAGCAGGAATACGAGGTAGCATTGCTCCCTTTCCCCATGTTGTGTGAGCATGCGTTGTAAACTTGTCTCGTAGTGGCAAGCATTATTTTCCTAATTGGGTAGCTTGATGAGCGATCTCCCCCTAATGTTGCTGCTTTCGCTAGATATAGACTACTTCAAAGTCTGGCTTGCCATGATTTGTTCCACATACCACAACTCTTGGCTGTGATTCCTGTTCACAATTGCCATTCTGGGAAGTCAAGGAGTTATGAACCGGTAGTCGGAAATAGTACGGATTCAGTATTGTATTTAACGCAGCTTGGAATAGCTGGTAGTGGAATCAATTCGCAACTTATTGTTGTTGCGGTTATAATAGTGCGTTGGGAGAATTGATTAGTATTATGTTCCGCATATCCATGGCGTTTCAATCGTAGAGCAACTTCTCAATCCGGAAAGTGGTGATTCGAATAAGGGACGCAGTTCTCAATTGTTCTATTTATTGAGCCGCCATCTGCCCTTTCCTACACACCATTACTTCCCAGATGACCTCGGACAATGCAAACATGACTAAACTGTTTAGCCTTCTTAGCTTTGCCAACCTCGCAGCAGCTGCGTGCATATCAAGCGGAGATGAGACAACAATCAACAATGCTCTAAAGAGCGGTGGAGCAGGTGCCGTTGTTCAGCTTTGCCCAAGTGCCGTCATCACCGTTCATAATACCGTTGCGTTTACGGCCGCCAACCAAGAGCTCTCAACTCAAGGCTATCCAACCGGCTCAACGCGTGCAATCATTCGCTTGCAAACAACAGATCAGTCTATTTCAGCAGTCATTCGAGGAGGGAGCCTCAGTGGCATTAAATTGAGGAATATCCAAATTGATGGTGATCGATCAGGGAATGGTCAGATTACTGCCCAAGGTACATACCTCAAGTCCATGTCTATTCAGAGTACAAATTGTCAACGTTCATCTAGCTAGTTCTGCAAACATTGAGCTGGGCGGCATCCAAAGCGGCCTCCTCGTCGACCATGTTGCGTCCATGAACCCACGAGGCTGGAGCTGTATGCATATCGGAGAGGGCGCGGCCGCATCAGGAGCCTCGGCTTGCAGCAACGCGACCATCACCAACAACGATATCGGCCCTTGCGGATTGGAGGGACACGATGCCGCGGGCCATGGTCAATGGGCTGATGGCATATCCTTTGCATGCACGAATTCACTGGTTCAGAGCAATACGGTATGTCACTTGATGCTTCCTTGTATTGTATCAGAGCCTTGGTTCCAGTCACTGATTACGATAAAACAGGTCACCGGAAGCACTGATGGAGGAATCGTTCTATTCAGTGCCCCTGGCACAAAGGTCCTATCTAACAAAATTGTAGGCTCGACAACAAACGCAGGCTTCGGAGCAATCAATCTAGTCGATAACCTTGCTGTGTATAACGGGAGCTTTGCCAATGTTGAGGTTTCAAGCAACACCATACAAGGACAGCGATTGTTTGGTGTCGGCGTTGCAGTTGGATCTTGTGTCTGGACCACCTGCGATGCCTCGACTACAACACCAAAGCTTTCGGGGCCTGTGACAATATCCAACAATGTATTTAGTGGCAGCATTGCGTTTCCGTTTCCAATTTCTGGTTGGACTGGAGGAATCACGGTAAGACGATCTATGCCTCCATCAGAAGCAGGGCTAACAATTCGAGATGTAGGTGACGGGCAACACCGTAACAGGAGTCAGTAGCAACTCGGTCTTTTCAGAAGCTGGAAACTGTCCTACAGCGACCAAGACGGCATTCAACGCGAACCAGCATCTTCTATGGAACAGTCCCAGCGTAACAGGACCGACAAACTTGCAGTCAGGATTTGTGCAGCACACCGACTATCCCTCATTCTTCATCTGCCCGACGCCGCCTCTGCCCAGCACGCAGGTTTGGACAAACGGGACCTTGGTGGTCAACACTGTTCCGACGACGTTCTCTTCTCTTCACAATGGCTTCAACTTTGTGTTTGATGACAGCGCGCATCTCATTGTCTATGACAATGGCGTGGTGGCAACAACGATTGGATCGACGACTACGTGCAACGGCCAGTGCACCCTCGATTTCCAAGGTGATGGAAATCTCGTGAAGCGGCTGAGCGGATCTGCATTCTGGGCGTCGAACACGGCCAATCGAGGCGCGACTCTGACGTCGTTGAACACGTCGCCTTGGCTGGAGATTAAAGACAAGACGGGAGCGGTTATTTGGGATGGAGTGAATGGGGTACGTTTACAAGGATGATGCTGAATGTTGCGGATGGCTAACGAGAACAGGCTCATTAATTGATTGCAGCCAAGGGTTTTATGGGTTTCCACTAAGCTTTGCTTGTCAGAAACAGACTTGTTGGCGGCAGGTGAAGAGCGTAGAAGCATTTCTTGTCGTGGAAGAGGCCCCTTGATATGAGATGGTTGTGGTGGCTGAAAACAATTAATTTGAATTTCCGGAAATGTTGTTACTATTTAACATCATCAAGGCGGATGCCTGTAATTAGCAATTAAAAAACTATGTTAATTCGCCGCCATCCAAATAATTCAGCTGACAGCTGGTAAGATGCGCGCATTTCAACAACCTCATAGTTTACAGTGTTGTTACGCTGCAATTATTGTTTACATGGGGCCATCTAGGCTCCAAAGCTGGCTCGTTAGCAGCAACTTTAGCTGCATAACAAGGTGCACGGCATAAAAATAGCGATTCTGCCGCGCCCAGGGCCTCAGACCGCCATTGGCTGCGATGCCTGCCGGTCGACTCGTTGCCCCGTCAGAACCAGGCAAGGGGACGGTGGGGCGTCAATGTCAGGAGACGCAGACCTCTTGTTGTCGTTTTGGACTCTGCATCGCTCTTTTCGAGGCTCAGAGACATCATCGCCATCGCCTGAACTGCTCCCGCAAGACACTGTGTCAAACCTGTCAAACCCTCTGCGACAACAGCCACAAGCCGTCTACTCCTCGCACCAATCACAATGGTGAGTTGCCCCAGCACCGCTCCGATGTAAACAAAGCGCCGGCTCGGCACCTGATTCGCCCGCAGCGGCTGTCCGTTTGGCGCCGTAGCTTTGGAGAGACGACGCAAAGGGGCCTTTTTTGGCATTCCTCTGCTGCATTTTGCGAAAGACGCTGCATCGCCCGGTCGCATTTGACAAGCTTGCGCGCAAAACCAGCACTTGCACATTTTATACCGAGATTAAGAGAAAATGGCTTCTAATCAGTTCGACTCTCAGGCCTCAACCAACTACAAGGAGGCATTTGCCCTGTTCGACAAGCGCGGCAACGGTCGCTGCACCATCGACTCTCTGGGCGATCTGCTGCGCGCCTGCGGCCAGAACCCCACGCTGGCCGAGATCCAGGAGCTGGAAAAGGGCCTCGGAAACGAGTGTGAGTTTGGCCAAGAGGAACAACCCGATGTGAAGATGAAATGCGCATTTACGCTAACTTGCAACTCCCCTGCGCAGTCGACTTCGATGCCTTCCAGCGCGTCCTGAACCGACCGGGCGGTTTCCGCGACCCCGGCGAGCCTGAAGAATACTGCCGCGGTTTCCAAGTATTTGATAAAGACATGACGGGCTTTATTGGTGTCGGCCAGCTCAAGTACATCCTGACCAACCTGGGCGAGAAGATGACTGAGGAGGAGGTCGACGAGCTGCTCAAGGCTGTGGACACCAGCTCTGGTCAGATCAACTACACTGGTATGTGTCTCTAGGCTGCACTACTTTACTCGGAATACTCCTTTGCTAACCTCTCGCTTTTAGACCTGGTCCGAACGATTCTCGCCAACTAAGATTCCTTTGTACGAAGAACCTGGCCTGGTGGCATCTTCTTGCATCTGTAAACGGGATGGCGTTGCTATGCGTTGTTTGTTTTTATTATGGTAGTGAATTGGAAACGCTTGGGATGGATGATATTTCTTTTTATCTGCAATGAATGGCCGTAGACTTTACATGCTGTTATGGCTGAATGAATACGTTTGGGTGCTTCAAACGTTGTCTCGGCGGCCACTAAGGCCTAGTATGTTCTTTATATACAAAAGAGCTATATAAAATATCTTCCACATTTAGAGCCTTTTACTGTTGATGGAATCTTGAATATCAACCAGTACACATGCGCCTGCCAACGGCTGTGTTCTCGACCTTCTTTTGCTTGCAGCTGTGGCGGTGTTGTCATGGCGGAGTCACCCCGCGATGCTGTCGGCATTCTCGCCTCACCACTTACCGGATATGGACGCTAGAGGCGCATAGTGGGCTTATCAATACGTGCATCAATAAAGCTACCTACCTATGGCTTCTACTTTAACTTATAGCTACATTCAATCTCTACATCACCTCATCTTACTGGATAGTGGATGCTATTATATCAAGATTGGCATCTAGCAGCTGTAGCAATTCCTCTGGTTAGCCCTGAACCGCCAATTCAGCTTGGCAGCGTCAAAGCCGCGTTCTGCCGCGTCGACTCCATCAGGCATTCATGCTTGGGGATCATTCAAGCTACCCCTCATCAGCAATCGATTTCCTCTATTCTGGTAGGCTGAAGCTACATCACGCCCGATCCCCTGCAGTCTAAGCGGACCAATTTGGGACAGAGCTTCCGCCACAGCTGTGCGTAAACCTGCCCGACACTTGCCATCAAACTGGAGCGGCCTCGTACCATAAAGCCCCTCCTTCTCCTGCTCCTCTCTCTCCTGGTACTTGTTCTCGCCGCAACCCTGGCTTCCCAACGAGCCCTTCTCCGCCTCAACTCCCTTGCGAGCCACGTACGATTGCAGGGCCTGGCTCGTCTTCCGTCATATCGTCGCCTCCTCACGACCAGCAGCATGGCTCCCGAGCAGTTTCGAAACCCGCCGCAGAGCCCGCCGGTGTTTACCGCCACGGCCGACTCCATCCTGGCTGATGCCAAGAAGAGCGCCGAGAAGAGCAAGAGCATCTTGGACCAGATTGTCGCAACCGTGACGCCCGAGACGGCCACGTTTGACAACACCCTGAAGCCCATCTTGATCGACGGCAATGACTCGACCGGCCCCCAGAACATCCAGACCTTCTTCCAGCATGTATCGACGAACGAGTCCCTCCGAGAAGCTTCTACCAAAGCAGAAGAGCTTCTCAACGATTTCTATATTGAGGCAAAGATGCGAGAGGATGTTTTCAAGCTAGTGGATGCTGCATATTCCACACGGGACTCCCAGAACCTGGATAAAGAGTCTCTCCATATCCTCGAGAAAGAGCGTCAAAAGTACATCCGTAATGGCTTGCTTCTCCCTCCCGGAGAGAAGCGAGACCGCTTCAAGGAGATCAAGAAGCGCCTCAGCCAGCTCTGCATCCTGGGCAAGAAGAACCTCAACGAGGAGAAGGGCGGATTTTGGTTTACTCGCGAGGAGCTAGAGGGCGTTCCAAAAGACGACATCGATGTCGACACGCTGGAGAAAGGAACTGGCGAGAACGAAGGAAAATTCAAGGTCACCTTTAAATACAACCACTACACCCCATTGATGAAGTATGCAATTCATGAGGATACCAGGCGTAGATATATCATTGCCGATGCCAACAAGGTACGTGAACTCTCCGCTCTGTTATCTTGGAAACACGCGCTATGTGCAGAGCTTCGGGCTAATGTAATATACCCCAGTCAAACAACAATGTGGAAATTTTCAAGGAAATCATGGAGCTTCGCGATGAAGCCGCTCGACTCCTAGGATATCCTGATCATGCTAGCGTTCGCATTGAGGAGAAGATGGCAAAATCGCCGACCCGTGTCAATGACTTTTTGGGTGACTTGCAAGTTCGCTTGGCCCCCGGCGGCAAGAAAGAGGTCGAGGTCCTGCGAGGATACAAGAAGCGAGACTATGAAGAGCGCGGCATTCCTTTCGACGGAGAATTTTATATGTGGGATACTTCCTACTATTCAAGAATCATGAAGGAGGTGGAGTATAGTGTGGATGAAGTGGCAATCTCACAGTACTTCCCAGCAGAGTCAACATTCGCTGGCATGCTCAAGATTTTTGAGGAAATCTTTGGTTTTGTCTTTGTTGAGCTGGGCAAAGAAGACCGAGCACGCTTGAGCCCTTCAGGCAAGGCTGACGACATTTCCTGGCATGAAGATGTCATCATGTACAGCGTATGGGATGAAGCAGCCAAAGGAGGCGAATTCTGCGGCTACCTCTACCTTGATCTCTTCCCCAGAGACAACAAGTATGGGCATTATGCAAACTTTGGAATTGAGCCCGGCTTCACCACGGTCGATGGAAAGAGGAGCTACCCCTCGACTTCCCTGGTGTGCAACTTTAGCAAACCAACAGCGACCAAGCCGTCACTGCTCAAGCACCACGAAGTTGTCACCTTCTTCCACGAGCTTGGCCACGGTATCCATGATCTTGCTGGCCGCTCTCGTTTCAGCTACACTCACGGCACTGCGACGGTGGCCGATTTCGTTGAAGCACCTTCTCAGATGCTCGAGAACTGGTGCTGGACTCCAAGCGTCCTGAAATCCCTGTCGAAGCACTGGGAGAGCGGAGAGAGTATCCCTGATGAACTCGTTGAGAAGCTCGTCAAAACCAAACATCTCAACTCGGCAATTGGCGCACTAGGTCAGCTTGTCATTGGCACTTTTGACATGACCATTCATGGACCCAAGACCCACGAAGAAGCCAAGACCAGAAATTACGGCAAGCTATGGAACCAGATCCGTCATGACATTTCCCAGATCAAGGGCCCAGAGGATATCGGCGAAACCATGTATGCAATCCAGTCCCCTTTTCTCTTTTTCTTTCTTTCTCTCTGCCTCTCCATTCAGCTTGGTGTGTGCGTTTATGGCTAACTCGCGATAGGGAATGGGGCAATCGATATGCCAACATTGGCCACTTCCTCGGTGGTTATGACGCCGGCTACTATGGCTACCTCTATTCTGAGGTCTTTTCCCTGGACATGTTCCACTCGTTCTTCAAGAAGAACCCCATGGATGGCAAGGAAGGTCGTAGATACCGCCACACCGTTTTGGAACGCGGTGGCAGCATTGACGAGATGGAGTTTTTGAAGGAGTTTTTGGGCAGAGAGCCTAGCACTGAGGCTTTCTACGAGGAGTTGGGCATTGCGGCCAAGTGAGTGATGTTTGTTAAAGCAAACGCCTTATTGATCATGTAGGCACGCATAAACATGAGATTATGAAGAAAGAAGACACAATGCAAGCATGTCTATCTAGTTGTAGTTATTATATACGCAGAGGACA